CCCTGGCGCAATATGGTTCATGGGGTCACGAAGAGTCGGACACGACTTAACGACTGAACAACAACAACAACAAGTCCTCAGTCCCAAGAATCATAAAAATGGAAGGAGAAAGGTTGCTATCGTCTTGGAGAAAGAATTGGGTGATGGGACAAGAGTTGAATGAAAAACTATACTGTAAGATAGTAATTGGAATGTTAATGGGTGCATGTAAATGTTGCTGTTCCATACTATATGGCATCCCCTTCGCTAAGATGTTGAAGAGAGAAATAGTTGGTGGCATGCTGCAAAACATTTGTGTTGTTCTTTGTGGACAAAATCAGTTGGATATGAACTCCAGGATTGAAGCTAGCTAGCTAGCTATCTTCAATTACTGTATACCATATTCAGTTTGACTCTTGTTGGCTTACAGCAAATACAACAAGTTGCTAGTTGAGAACTGTGAGTGTCCTACAACAGACCCTGGGTCTCTAGTATGGTCTAGGTGCATCTCCCATGCTATATCTCCCATGGTGCCAGTCAGGTGCTCTGCCAAGCTTTTTTTCTAGCATAATTTGAGATGCCAACAATAATTTGGTCCCCATGTGACCTCCAGAATCATTTTTAGAAAATGAAGTGATAGCTGTCCACTACAATGCACTTTTTCTGGAAGTTTGCATATCCTTAAAAAAATTGGAAAGTATGCTGAGATGGTAAAAGGTAAAGTGGTGGTGGGAAGCAATTTCTCCAACTGATCTACTCCCATCATGGCAGCCATTTTGTGAGAATACCTATAATCTACTTTGAAAATTCCAATTGTGCTATTAATGCAGAAACGTTGGGGACCCCACCTACTAACCATCTAGAATGGAGTAAGGTTGAAATATTAAATCAGTCATACAACATGTTACAGTCTGGTGTGATGCATACATGCAATATGTAAAATAGTGCTGTGCAGATCCTTCAGAAGGTACCCCGGGGACATATGGAGTACTTTTTGAATAATTTGGAATCATATAACAGATATGTCTTTTTCCATTGTGTGGCTGCTCCCAGCTGTCTTCTCATGCATGTGGCTTTGTTCTGTATTAAGTATGCCTGCATACATTCAGAAACAACCAGGATCAGCTTCCAAAGCAGTTATGGAAGCCTGGAAAAAAAAAAGTGCCTGTTTCAACCATTCAAAAACTATGTTTCAAACCATCTTTTCTGTAGGATTGCATAGCCCTAAATCAGAGCAAGACTACCAACCCAGTGTAATCTGCCTATTCTTGCATCTGTTTCATTAGGCAAAGTCAGCAAGGTTACACAAAAATATCAAAGTAACACCATAGGAGTAAAGAAGTATTAACAGGATAGTGATGGCTCAGAGAAGGGCAATCTATTTATTTTTCTGGCTTAGAAATATGAAACTTTGCTAGTCTGACTTGTTCTACCTCTTCTTTCTCTAAAGATTGTCCTACTGACCAAAGAACTTGAAGATATTAAGAAGAAAATGGAACAAGTCAGTTCATCTATGGGATTCCCACCACAGCAACCATTACATAGTGCGGCAGAAAGTCTCCAGACCCCTTCATCCCTTTCTCCTCAAAGTGTTTCTCCCCCTCCCCCTCCCCCTC